TCCCAATAATGAGTTATTAGGAAATAGAAATAGATGACATCTTATAATGTTATGGACTAGGTGTAGGGCCTAAATTAACTTTCCAGGTTCTTGCTTTTACTTAGAGAAGAATACTAAATACAGGCCCAAACACAGCATGCAATGTGATAAACTTTTTACAAAGTGAGAAACATACACACACCCAAAAGGGCTTAATTAGGAAGAATGGGGCCAAAGAAAGGGAATTATAGCCTGCTCTGCTCCTCCTGAGTCTAGGTGGATGACAGAGAGCTTCTGTTCTTCCTAGCTTTTTATACTCTTAGAAAAATGGAAGTGTTGGGGCCCATGCTGTGGTGTAGTGGGTAAAGCTGCTGCCTGCAGTTGAAATTGGAGAAGACCCCCTAAAATCTACACTAAAAATGTGGCTCTTAAAGTTCTGGGGTGTCACATGTGCTACCAGAATTTGGGGTGCCATACGATTTCACCATGGGCTTGTTACTAAATCCCCAATATTAATAAGCCCTAGAGGGTTCTTGCCTATTATTTAAAGAAGAATTCTAAATATCAGCACAGATAAACGAGGCAGCATGGTACATTTTAAGCTTTTATTTAGTGAGAAAAATGCATAGGAGAGTTGAGAGCTTTATTTAAGAGAGAGGTAAATAGGGGTTCATACCGAGCACCAGGAACCAGCCATATGAAAGAGCATCTAGGCCAGGAAGCCTTGGCCATGTGCCCTGGTGGTGCAGGGCTACAGCCAGCCCCCTCCTGGCAAGAGTCCAGGGAAGAAGAGAGGGCCAGGCCACACCATGTCACACCTTTTAACCCACTTCCAAAGGCAAGTGGTTAATTAAGCTGATTGGCTGGTGGGCACCCAAGTGTGGCCAGGTAGGGGAATGAGGCCACACAGGGCCATGGTGAAGGCATCAGTTAGGGGCATGTGGTCACACAGGGGTGTGGTGAAGGTGTGGCCTTCCAGTTCACAAATCTAATCAATTTTATCCTGTATGTCTGCCTACTTCACAGTGCCGGCATCCTATATGGGTGCCAGTTCATATCCCAGCTGCTCCACTTCTGATCCAGCTCTCTGCTATGGCCTGGGAAAGCAGTAGAAGATGGCCCAAGCCCTTGGGTCCCTGCACCTGCATGGGAGACCTGGAAGAAGCTCTCAGCTCCTGGCTTCAGATCGGCACAGCTCTGGCCATTGCAGCCAACTGGGGCATGAACCATCGGATAGAAGACCTCTCTCTCTCTCTCTCTCTCTCTTTCTCTCCTTCTCTCTCTGTATAACTTTGGCTTTCAAATAAATAAATGAAACTTTTAAAAAAGAAAGAAAAATGGAAATGTTTACATGGTACAACCCCCATTTCCTGGGTAAGAGGAGGCACTTCCTGGGGAGGGGATCCCTGATTGACAGGAAGATGAATATGAAAATATAAAGTGAACTAGGTGTGACTTCCAGCTCATTAACTTAAAATTACCTATCTAATCTTCACCACATCAATAAGAGGTGATTAGGATAAGTCTTTTCATGTGATTAATGAGTTATTGCCAGAGGTCTGCTATAGAAATTACTTTGGGGGACTGGCTTTGTGGTATAATGGGTTAAATTGCAACCTGCAATGCCAGCAAGCCATATGGGTGCCAGTTCAAGTACTGACCACTCCAATTCTGATCTAGCTCCTTGCTATGTGAGAGTGGCAGGGATGTCCCAAGTGCTTGCCTCCCTGCACCCATGTGGAGATGGGGATGGCATTCCAGACTCAGCATTGGCCTCATCCAGATCTGGTCATTTTGACCACTTGGGGCATGAACCAGTGGATAGAGGATCAATCTTTGTGTCTCTCTGTGTGTGTATCTCTTAACTCTTCCTCTCAAGTAAATAAATATATCTTTATTTAAATATTTTATTTATTTATTTGAGAGGCAGAGTTACAGATAGAGAGAGGGAGAAACAGGGAGAAAGGTCTTCCACTCACTGGTTCACTCCCCATATGGCCACAATGACCAGAGCTGCAGCAATCCAATGCCAGGATCTTCTTCCAAGGTCTGCCATGTGGATGCAGGGGCCTAAGCACTTGGGCCATATTCTACTGCTTTCCCAAGCTATAGCAGAGAGGTGGATGGGAAGAGGAGCAGCTGGGACATGATCCAGCATCCATATAGGATTCTAGCACCACAGGCAGAGGCTTTGCTCCTTACTCTTCAGCGCCAGCCCAGCAAATATATTTTTAAAAAGTCACTTTGGACTGGCCTCTCCTACATTCCTTTTTTTGGGTTACATAGCCTCTATACCACATCTAAGCCTCTGTCAAAAACAACACTGCAATGATAGACTGCTCCCAACCTTGGATTTGAGCCAAATAAAGCTACTTTTTTATAACTTACACGATAACTCTATAGTATTGTGTTATTAGCAACAGAAAACAGCATCAGACACTGAGGAAGGTCTATGCTAAGAGGATTGGGTTGTGGGCTTGATGACATCTTTCCCAACTAAGAGTAATCAGGTCACCCCTGGAGAGAAAGGAGGGAGAGAGGACCCTATATGTCACAGCTTCTCTTCCATACATGATGAAGTCTGTATTCTCCCTGAGAATTCGCTCATCCTCACAACACAATTTGGCAAGATTGGCTCTAGGACTGAGCCAAGGAAACTAAATGCAGGGATGAGAGAGCATACTCATAATCCCAGCTGCCAGCCCAGCTCACATCCTGAAAGCTTGAGGCGGTTGTTTCTACACACTCTCCATTTTTCAGCTTCTGAGGTGTTTGGGCATCCTTCTGATGGCTCCTGTGGTGAGGAGAACTCACAGAGCAGCAAAGGCTGAGCCACCAAGGGCCTCTCTTGGGAACAGACTAGAGAAGCTGTGTTTGGCAACAACAAGATCAAAGATCCCATATGGTACTCCAGTGTTGTCTCAGCATACCTGATTGGACAGTTTGTTCAGCTGGTGATTATACATGACATCAGAAAAGATTCAACCAATCAGAATTGCCCTAGCATATGGGTAGTCCTTTGGGCAGTTTCTGTTGGGGGACATTCAGCTCAAGTCTAAAGCCACCTCATCCTCCTGGGGGCTGGCTCTCTTGACAGCAGCCTGTACTGTCATGTCCCTGATGATTCCACCTGAGATCCCTCAATCCCCACCATGTCTGTGATCCTGCTGGGATCTTGTGACCTAGAACTTAGCATCACAGTCACAATTTACTAACATTTACTAAGTCTTGAGCCTTTCAGTTTCATCATATTCTTGGCATACTTCTCTTTTATGTCACTTCAGTATTTTTTATTGTTTTGAAGAATATTTAAAGATACTGAAAAGACTCATTTGCTTCTAGTCTGTATCTTTTTCCTTTAAAATAGATTTCTACTTGTTTCTTAGTGATATATAGTAACCCCATTGATGGTATAAGTTGATCTTGTACCCAGGATTCTTGCTTAGTTCTCCTATCAGTTTGTTTTAGGATTATCTCTGTATAGATAGTTTTGTTACTTAAAAATTTATCTTTGGGGCCAGCCACTGTGGCGCAGGCATCGCATATGGGCACCAGTTCGACCCGGCTGCTCCACTTCTGATCCAGCTCTCTGCTATGGCCTGGGAAAGCAGTAGAGGATGGCAAGTCCTTGGGCCTCTGCACCCACATGGGAGACCTGGGAGAAGCTCCTGGCTCCTGGCTTCAGATTGGCGCAGTGCTGGCCATTACAGCCAATTGGGGAGTGAACCATCTGATGGAAGACCTCTCTCTCTCTCTCTCTCCTTCTCCTCTGTGTAATTCTGCCTTTCAAATAAAAATAAATAAATCTTAAAAATGTATCTTTATACTGTGTTTAAATTTCATTGTTTCATTTCCCTGATTACACTTTTAGTACAATATTGAAAAGAAAGACCCATCTCACATGGGTCTGCTGCCAGAGGAAAGAGCTTTATTTCTTTTTTAAAAAAAGATTTATTTATTTATTTGAAAGGCAGAGTTACAGAGAGGCAGAGACATAAGAGAGAAGTCTTCTATCCTCTGGTTCACTCTGTAAATGACCACAACAGCAAGAGCTGGGCTGATCTGAAGCCAGGAGCCAGGAGCTTCTTCTAGGTCTCCCACTCAGGTGCAGGGACCCAAGTGCTGGGGCCATCTTCTGCTTTCCCAGGCCATAGCAGACAGCTGGATCAGAAGTAGAGCAGCCAGGACTCAAACCTGGCACCCATATGGGATGCTGGCACTACAGGTGATGGCATTACCTGCTATACCACAGTGCTGGCCCTTGAGAAAAGAGCTTTCAATGTTCCATGTTAATTTTCCTGTTTTTGTTCATTATAGACAATCTTAACTATAATAGGGACATTCCTATAGTTTACTGCTCTGCTAACAGTTGCTTTTTTATGGTCAGATGCTCAACTTAATTAATGCTTTTAAGCATTTAGTTTAAATAATTGTGATTTTTCTTTTTGTATTTTTTAGTGGTTTATTTATTTGAAAGAGTGACAGAGAGAGTGAAATGGAGAGGAGGGGAGAGAGAGAGAGAGAGAGAGAGAGAGAGAGAGAGAGAGAGAGAGAGAGAGTTATTAAGCTTCATCAACTAGTTCACTCCTCAAATGGCTATAGCAACCAGAGCTGGGCTGAGTTGAAACCAGGAGCCAGGAACTTCATCTGGATCTCCTGTACGAGTGGCAGAGATCCAAGTACTTGGTTCATCTTCCACTGCTTCCCCAGGTGAATTAGCAGGGAGCTAGGTCAAATATAGATCCAGGATTCAAATCAACACTCTGATTTGGCATCACAATTCATAGCTTAACCCACTGTGCCACAATGCCAGCCATTGGTTCTGGTCCTTTTTCTGTTTTAGGCAGTAGCCTGATTGACAAGATTTCTTTTCAAATAACTATAACGCTTGATATCTTGGGAGTATTGCTGTCTTGCCAATGTGGGAAATCTAGTAATGTTTACAAATGAGTAAACTCACAGTATCCCGGAGCTCAGGACACACCTGGCTGTCTGGCGCACGTGGCCGAGGGCTTCAGGCCATGGCCGGAAGGAGACGGGATAACTGCGGGGTGCCAAGGCAGGACCGGCCAGATTTAAGGCCACCCCTGCTGCAGCCCCGGTGGCACAGTGGCACGACACGAAGGAGGCCGTCTCTGCCCAGCGAATATGTTAACTCCGCGAGGAGCCGGTGAGGGGCACAAGGCGGTTCCCAAGGGAGCAGCGGGAGACTTTACCGACACCCACTCACCTCACAAGATGTGCGGAGAAACACTGGAATGAGAGTTAATTGCGGGTACAGGCGGAAAACAACTCCAGGGGAGCAGCTGAACGTCTGTGGCCGCGGCAGCTGGGAGGCAGAGGCCTCTCCCCACACGCAGGTGCTGGGTGCCCATGCTCCTCACACTCAGTTCTCGGGGCGCACTGGGCAGCAGATGAGGGCACAGGCCCAGCAGGTGCTCTGTGGTGGCTCCCCCGGGTTCTGCCCAGGCTTGCAGCAAGATGCAGACCATGGCATTGGGAGCGCCAGAGCTGGGGCCAGGTCGGGGAGGCCAGCACTGGAGACCAGGATGCTTCCAGAGAACCCTGGCCAACCTGGTATGCTGGCGGTGTGACTTGGCGCAGCCCGGACAAGTGGTTAAGTGGCCACAGGGAGAGATCTGTTCTAGAACGTTGATGACACAGAAGTTCATTTCCACCTCTGCCATGTGGCACAGGGTCAGGGAGGCCTCTGCTTCCTGCTCCTGGGCGCTGCCTTCAGCACAGGCCGAGGTGATCCTGTGCCACATCCAGAGACGAGACATCACCCACTGGGTGTCAGGTGTGGGGCCACCGTTGGCATCCAGGCTTCTGGCTGTGTGGTTTGCTGCGTGCCTCCTTCCTGGTGAAGCCCCCAGCTGGAAGGGGGCCACCTTGGCCCACCCAGGGCCTGGGAGGCACCTGTGGACACCAGGTGGGGGCTCACCTGTGCAGGCCATTCTCATGGCCCACTGGACATGTGCAAGCCATGATGGCCTGAGGCCTCTACTCAGTGTTGTCCCAGCCTCAGGCTGACTCGCGCCAGTGGGGACTTCTCCTTTGAGTTTGCGTACAACCTGACAAACTGAACTTTTTGGTCAGTCTCCTGTTCCTGCCCAGCCCTGAATTCCTGTAATTTCAGAATGAGGTCAATGTCATCCACATTCAGAGGTCACTTCCCAGAAGTCTCAGGCCAGAGCTCCCAGGGAGGGCCGGGAGCATCCCCTTAGGGTGAGGACGGTGGGGGAAGCGAGGAACCTGAGATGGGGGGACCTCAGCCTTGGGGAGGCAGAGCTGGCTGCAGACCGTGCCGTGTGCAGTAGGGGCAGCAGTGCCGTGTGCAGCTGATGGTGCCGTGTGCAGCAGGGGCAGCAGGTGGGGCCATGTGCAGCTGCCTCTGCCACCTTCTCAAGAGCTCTATCTCCCCAGCCCAAAGCTGGGTACCCACCTGTCCCTGACTCCCAGGCCCCACCCCAGGCAGCCCTGCTCTGCTTCCTGTCTCTCTGGGGTCCTCCTGTGAGTGAGGGCTACAGGCATTCTTTGTCATCCACTAATGTCACACAGCACCCAGGCCCGAGCACAGAACTCCTCTGCTCCTCTGTCCATCTGTCCATCCATTGGGGGACAGCTGCCTTGCTCTGCAGGGTTGGGGCTGGGTCTTGGGGAGACCTGGGCTTAGCTCTGGGGTGGGCACTCTGATCGGCCCTCATCTACTGAGACGTGGCCCTTGCTGGTCCAGATCTGAGTGATGGTGATGTCTTGAGCAGAGTCCAGCTGCTCTCTGGGTTCCTGGGCGAGAATCCCTGAGGTCAGAATGCACCAGCATTTCCTCACAGGTTGCCACTGTCCCCTGGTGCTGTGTGTTTTTTTACTTAACTAACTTACTTGAAAGACAGCTCTACCTGCTGGTTTACTCCCTGAATGCCAAGCCACATGGGTGCCGGGGAGCCAGGTCCTTGAGCCATCTCCCCGGTGGCAGTCAGTAGGAGGCTGGAACTGGGAGTGGAGCTGGGACTCAAACCCAGGCCCTCTGGAGTGGGCTGTGGGCCCCACACCCCCAGGCCAAACAACCACCTTGGTGTTGTCTTTGGACTGAGAAAAATTCCCATCAATGTGATTCTCATGGAGCACACACAGGGCACAACCAGGAGACCTGACAGACACTGAAGGCCAAGTTTGGTAGTATACACACACACAAGCACACATACACGTGTGCACACATGCACACACTGCACACACATGCACTCACATGCAAGCACACATACACACAAAACACAGTACACACACGCCCACACACAAGCACACACATGTGCATACATGCACACATGTATATCGACATGCACACACGTGTACACACAGCACATGCAAAATACATGCATGCACACACACGTGTGCACAGTTCTGTCAGGTCTGGGGCTGGACATACATGGACGACAGAGCTCCTGCATCTTGGCTAAGCTCACTGGGAGCCCCAGGGGAGCGGCTCCAGGGGCAGCAACCAGTCTGTGATGGATCAGTCACTCAGCTGCAAGGCGGCCTGGTCCTGCCTGGCTCCACGCTGCCGGCACACGCTGGGGCTCCTGGGCAGTCGCGGGCTGGGAGGGCCACCAGTCTGGCACTGCACAGCTGCTACGTGGCCCCTCCAGAAGGGGACCTGCCCTGACTGGTGCTGCCTCCCCAGGGGCCTTCATGATCCCATTCCTCATCCTGCTGGTCCTCAAGGGCATCCCCCTGCTGTACCTGGAGTTTGCCATTGGGCAGAGGCTGCACAAGGGGCCTGTGGGCATGTGGAGCGCCATGCACCCAGCCCTCAAGGGTGTAGGTAGGCCCCTCCCTGGGCACCGGGAAGTGTGGGCAGTATCGGCATAGAGTGGAGGGGCACAGCCTGCCTGCCCAGAGTAAGAGCCCAGCAGGGGGCGCTGGCCACCTGCTCAGGCGGCCTCCATCTACTCCCACACCCTGCCAGCCTGGGGGGTCACTCATTGACCAGCTCTGTGACCGGGGCACTGGCTCCCTCAGACCTCCGGCCAGGGCAGGGGGCAGGGTCCACTGATGAGAGCTCCTGGGGCAGGAGGCCCTTGCCCTGAAGCCCAAGATCCAGGCCTCCCCTGCCTGCCTCTCCTGGTCCCTTCATGCTTGGTTCTGTTAGAGGCAAGCACCTACAGGAGCCCCTGCCCCACCACGTGCAGAATCTCCCCTGAAGCCCCCTCGCCCACGCAGGCATCACCGCCATGCTAGCATCCTTCATGGTCGGGCTGTACAACTCCATCATCGCCTGGATCTTCGGGTACTTCTTCAACTCCTTCCAGGACCGGCTGCCCTGGAGCCAGTGCCCGCTGGACCAGAACCTTACTGGTGAGCTGCACCTGGGGCCGAAGCCAGGGTCCTGGAGGGGCTGGGGACAGGGAGCCCCGAAACTCCGCTCCACCCAGGGCAGCCAAGGGAGAGGGAGGCCGTCAGGAGCTAGGGAGCATGCAGCCCCGGGTGCGTGCACGTGTGCTGCTCCCGCCGACACGCGTCACGGCCGCGCCCTGGCAGGCTACACGGATGAGTGTGCGCGCAGCTCCTCCGTGGACTAATTCTGGTACCGCGAGACGCTCAACATATCCACGTCCATCAACGACACGGGCTCGGTGCAGCGGTGGATCCTGCTGTGCCTGACGTGTGCCTGGAGCGCGCTCTACGTGTGCACCATCCGCGGAATCGAGACAACGGGCAAGGTGCGGGGCGGGCACCGCGCGCGGCTGCGGTGCTGGTGCTGCGGTGCTGCGGTGCAGGGCGCGCCCTCGCCGGCTGCCGTGAGCCCGCCTCCCTGCCCCGCTGCAGGCCGTGTACACGACTTCTAGGCTACCCTACCTCGTGCTCGCCATCTTCCTGATCCGCAGCCTGAGGCTGAAGGGCGCGGGCGCCAGCATCGCCTTCCTCTTCACGCCCAACGTGAGTGCCGCCCGCAGCTGCCCACTGCCCGCTGACGCTGCGCTCTCGCTCTGCGCAGGTCACCGAGCTGGCCAACCGGTCACCTGGCTGGATGCGGGCGGGCAGGTGTTCTACTCCTTCTCGCTGGCCCTCGGCGGCCTCCTCTCCTTCTCCAGCTACAACTCGATGCAGTGAGTAGAGGGTGCAGGGGTCCTGGGGCGCCGGGAGCAGACCACGCCTCAGTTTCTCCATCAGACCTGGAAACCCAGCCACCCTAGCGAGAGCGTGCATGGCAGCCCTTGGTGGGGGCGTGCTGGGGGAGGTATGAGGAGGGCGACCCTGCTGACCCTGTGGCACCTGGCTTCCCGGGTGCTGACCCTTACAGAGGCTCCATCTGGCTGGCAGGACAGGTGGCTCCCACGTCTCCACCACCTCTATCCAGTTCCAGAACATTCTCCCTACCCCACCAGCCCAAGTCCCACCCTGTGACCCACTCTCCCTGTCCTGCCAGCTCTACAGGGCCTTGCGGCTGCTCCACAGGTGCCTGGGGCTCTGTGGCTCTTGGGAACGACCCCACCTCCAGGCACGTGCCTGGGAGTGGAGCTGTGGGTCCAGCCGGGTCTCCATGGCCGACGGCATCATGTGTGTCGGCTGCACCAATGCCCGGCAGGTCCAGGGGCACCTGAGGCCCAGCTGGGACTTGAACCCAGGGATCTCCTGCTCCAGAATCAAGGGGACAGCTGCTCCGGGGACCCCAGAGCCAGTAGGCTGTGGTGGGGGAGGCGTGAAGGGCAAGGGCCAAGGGTCCCTGCTCTGGGCTCCCATGCATGGCATAGCCCTCTGGCCCTCTGAGTCCTCAGCACCTGCACCTGCTTGGAGGGGCACAGGTGGACTCCCGCCCAGCTCATTTCCCAGCAGGCCTTGGGCCCTCAGTCCTGGGCCTGGCAGTGGTGCCTTTGCTGACCTCTGCCTGTGGGGTGCGAGATGGTGGTCATCTCCATCAATGGCTTCATGTCCGTGTAAGCGGCCACAGTGATCTACTCCATCATCGGCTTCTGCACCACCGAGCGCTATGACGACTGCTTCAGCACGTGAGTGGTCCCGCCCCTGCCACGCCCTGCGCCCAGTGTCATCCTGGCTCTGCTCCTAGGAACCTCCTGACCCTCATCAACGCCTTCGACCTGCCGGAGGGCAATGTGACCCAGGAGAACTTCGCGGAGATGCAGCTCTGGTGGAATGCCACGGACCCCGCAGCCTACGCCCAGCTCACATTCCAGAGCTGCAGCATGAACTCCTTCCTCTCAGAGGCAGGTCCTGGGCACCCCAGCAAGTGGGAGGCAGAAGCGCCCCCGCCGGCCCCCCAGGTTGCTCCCTGGGGCTGCCATCCACTTCCCCTTGGTCGCCACAATGCTGGCCGTGGCACATCCTGCTGCCGCTCGGCTCCCCACACACTGCCTCCTCTCTGTTCGGGAGCCCCCAGGTTGTGGGGGTGTCACTACTTCCAGGCTGGCTCCCACAGCACCAAGCTTGGTGATGGGATGTGGCGTCACCTGTTGTCAGCTGTGTGTCACCTTCTGGGCCCCAGGTGGCTGCTGGCATTCCCCATCCCAGCCCAGGCGCCCTCAGCTGCTCCTGGCTCTGCCAGGGCCGGGCACACCTGGCGAAGGGCCCCGGGCCCCGTGCACCCTCACCTCCCGGCCCGCAGCTCCGCTTTACCTGTGTATCTGGAGCCAATAGGAGGCCTAGGATCAGCCTCATTCTTGCTTGGTATGGTTCAGTCAGTGGGCTGTGCGCTGACAGGATGACCAGTGTGGCCGTCAGGGACCAACAGGCCCTGGGTGACTGGGTGCCATCATGCGGGGCATAAAGGGCATGGGCCTGGCCTTCATTGTCTTCACAGAGGCCATCACCAAGATGCCGGTGTTGCTGCTGTGGTCCGTGCTGTTCTTCCTCATGCTCTTCTGCCTGAGCCTGTCGTCCATGTTCGGGAACATGGAGGGCATGGCTGTGTCACTGCAGGACCTCACGCTCATCCCCACCAAGTGCCCTAAGGAGCTGCTCACAGGTGTGTGTGCCACGGGGGGCCCAGCTGTGTCCCCTTCCCACTGGGCCACAGGTTGGGACCCGCTCGGCTCTGTTTCCCTGCAGGCCTCACCTGCCTGGGGACCTACCTCCTGGCCCTCATCTTCACACAGAACTATGGCCAGTACTGGCTCTCCCTCCCAGACAGATATGTGAGCTCCATCCCCCTGCTCATCATTGCATTCTGCTAGGTGTTCGGGATCCTCTACATGTATGGCATTGATAGGTACGAGGGAGGAGGCAGCAGGGAGTTGGGCCGGGGCCAGCCTCAGGGGGCACAGGACAGACAGCAGAGCAGCAGCCCTGAGTCCCGGGAGGGGGCTCTGCAGGGCCCCTCTGTCTTCCAGATTCTCCTACACCTAGCTGTGCAGAGCAAGCACTGACAGCAGCATTGGGAGACTGCCCAGAACTTGGGGTATATGAGCATGGAGGCCACAGCAAGAGCAGGCCCTCTGCCACATGGCTGAGCAAGAGCCTTGGTCTGGGCCCCTCACAGCAGCCTGGGTGCAGGTGCAGCAGAGGAACTATGGGTGGGTGGGCAGTGGGGCTGGGGTCCTCAGCCTGGGGTACCTATGTTGCAGTGGGGGGCTGTTCCTCCTTGGAGTCCAGGCTATCCAGAGCGGGGACTTTCAGCCCCCACTTGGCCAGACATCTGGGCACTCACCTTGCTGGGTGGGGTGGCCACCAGAGAGCAGCCTGAGAAGCTATCAAGGCGAGCTGCTTCTGAGACCAGGTGTGCAGGCACAGGTGTACAGGTACAGGCATGCAGGCCAGATGTGTGAAGGCCAGGCATGTGCAGGCCAGGTGTGCAGGTACAGGCATGCAGAGGCACAGGTGTGCAGGCACAGGTGTGTGCAGGCCAGGTGTGTGCAGGCCAGGCATGCAGAGGCTAGGTGTACAGGTACAGGTGTGCAGAGGCACAAGTGTGTGCAGGCATAGGTGTGCAGAGGCCAAGTGTGCAGAGGCCTGGTATACAGGTACAGGTGTGCAGGCACAGGTATGTGGAGGCACAGATGTGTGCAGGCCAGGTGTGTGTAGGCCAGGTGTACAGGTGCAGGTGTGCAGGCACAGGTGTTTGTAGGCCAGGAGTGTAGAGGCTAGTTGTACAGGCACAGGTGTGCGGAGGCCAGGTGTGCAGAGGTACAGGAATGCAGAGGTACAGGTGTACAGGCACAGGTGTGTGCAGGCCAGGTGTGTGTAGACCAGGTGTAGAGGTACAGGCATGCAGAGGCACAGGTGTGCAGGCACAGATGTTTATAGGCCAGGAGTGTAGAGGCCAGTTGTACAGGCACAGGTGTGCGGAGGCCAGGTGTGCAAAGGTACAGGCATGCAGAGGTACAGGTGTACAGGCACAGGTGTGTGCAGGCCAGGTGTGTGTAGACCAGGTGTAGAGGTACAGGCATGCAGAGGCACAGGTGTGCAAGCACAGGTGTGTGCAGGCCAGGTGTGTGTAGGCCAGGTGCACAGGTACAGGTGTGCAGGCACAGGTGTGTGCAGGCCAGGAGTGCAGAAGCCAAGTGTGCAGAGGCCTGGTATACAGGTACAGGTGTGCAGGCACAGGTATGTGGAGGCACAGGTGTGTGCAGGCCAGGTGTGTGTAGGCCAGGTGTACAGGTGCAGGTGTGCAGGCACAGGTGTTTGTAGGCCAGGAGTGTAGAGGCCAGTTGTACAGGCACAGGTGTGTGGAGGCCAGGTGTACAGGCACAGGCATGCAGAGGTATAGGTGTGCAGGCACAGGTGTGTGGAGGCCAGGTGTGCAGAGGTACAGGTGTGCAGGCACAGGTGTGCACAGGCACAGGTGTGCAGAAGCCAAGTGTGCAGAGACCTGGTGTGCAGGTACAGATGTGCAGTTACAGATGTGGAGGCACAGGTGTGCAGAGGCCAGGTGTGTGCAGATATAGGTATGCACAGGTGTGTGCAGGCCAAGTGTTCAGAGGCCGTGTGTGCAGGTACAGGTGTGCAGCTGAGGGGCAGGCCAAGGTACACAGGGTTGGCCATGCTCTGGTAACATCATGCAGTGTGGGTTTGGCCATGTGCCTGGCCCCACAGCTGTGCAGCTGTGCTTGGCACTGTACATGTCTACACGTCCATCTGTGAAAGGCCCGGAGTACAGGGTGAGGCAGCATCTCACCCAGGTCAGTTGACACCATCCCAGCCTCTGTCTCCAGGTTCAACAAGGACATTGAGTTCATGATTGGGCACAAACCCAACATCTTCTGGCAGCTCATGTGGTGGGTTGTCAGCCCCCAGATCATGCTGGTCATCTTCCCCTTCTACTTTACGGTCAAAGTCAGCAAGGAGCTGATCTACAGTGTCTGGTACCCCAGCTACGTGAGTGCCTGGGGCCGCCCATGCCGGGAGGGTCTCAGGTCGGGGTGGAGGCCCTGCGTGTGCTCAGGGAGGGTCACAGGTCAGGGTGGAGGCCATGCATGTGCTCACAGGAGGGTCACAGGTCAGGGTGGAGGCCCTGTGTGTGCTCAGGGGAGGGTCACAGGTCAGGGTGGAGGCCCTGGGTGTGCTCAGGGGAGGGTCACAGGTCAGGGCAGAGCCCCTGCATGTGCTCACCTCTGGCCTGGTTCTCCCCCAGGAGGAGTTCCTCAAATCCTGGCAGGTCAGGTACCTGCCCTGGGTGTACATGGTGGTGGTGGTCGTGGCTGCCATGCCCAGCCTCATCATCCCCTGTTTCGCCATCTGCAAGCTCATCAGGGGCCACTGCCAGCAGCCAGGGGACCAGCAGGGCCTGGTCAGCATGCAGTCCACGGCTTCCATGAATGGGGACCTCAAGTACTGAGGTCCCCAGGCTGCGTGTGTGTGTGAGTGCACGCATGCACACATTTATGTGTGTGTGTGTGAGCATTTCATATGTGTGTGCACTAGCTTGAATATGTAGACATGTACATTGTACATGTGTATATTCATTCATGTGTATGTGATGTTTCTCCATATGCATGCATGTCTATGCACACGTGTGTGTACATGTGAGTTATGTCAGCATTGTGTGCATGCCTGGATATGTATGTGTTGTGTGCACGTATGCCTGTGTGCATACATGTGCATGTTTTATGGGTGTGTGCATATGCATGTGTATGTGTGTACGTGCATCTGTACATATGTAGCTATATATTTTGTGCACATGTGGACGTGTGCATTGTGCTTACACGTATACGCACACTGCTTGTATGCACGTGCATGTGTGTGCATATCCAGGTGCACACGTGTTCACACACATGTGTGCATCTGTGTTTACATGTTCATGGCACACACGTGTACCATGTGGGCCCAGTCTCCTTGTCATGAACACAGTACAGCATGCCACACAGCCCTGAGTATGTCCCCCAAAGTCAAGAGCTGAGGGGTGGGGAGGCTGCACCTGCTGCACCCCAGGTTGCCATGGATGGCCGTGGAGCCTGGAGTGTGGGCTGCTGACTCGGCCCTGCAGCCATTCTCATTTCCCAGCCCTCACCCTGTGTCCTCCCCCTATCTACAGACGCTTGACCTAGAGACCCCCGAGGTCAGGGTTTGGGCCCTTTTACCAGAAGCCCATTGAGCCTGTGGTGACATGGCCACACACCCCCTCCATGCCCTGGCCCCACCACCCCTGGCTTAATGAATACTCACCATTTAATCATTGCTTCTGCCTGCCATGGACAGACGCTCTGAGTGCAGCTCAATGCGGCCCAGCCAGAGGAAGACATCAGCTGTTTTCTTACAGGGACATTAACTGAATTGTTAGCCAGATGTTGGGAGAGAGGGTTACAGGGTAACTTGGCCTCGGCCCCTGCCACCAAGGATGCTGTATGCCTCCTGGCTCCCCTGGAGCCCAGGGCTGTGTCAGGGTGGATGGCCCTGGGACTTGGCACCAACCTCAGCCCATGCAAGCTGTGCCTGTGGTGTCTGCTTCCACAAACGGCCACCTCCACGTTCTGCAGAAAAGCCTGAGTGCTTCCCTTCAAGTGGACTTTATAGAATTCTCACAAGTTGGGCTGGGATGCTGGGGGGTCCCCTTCCTCCCAGAGACCCCGGCCACAAACTCCAGTCCTGCAGTTCCAGCTACCTGGCACACTGCAGACACGGAGCAGGGTGGAGCTTGGACATGTTCTGACCACTCAGCACTCACCCCTCCACTGCCCTGCAGTGCCCCTGGCACGGCACGGCCAGGTGTGTCATCCAGGAGGCTGGTGGTTGTGTGACACCTCCAGAACACAGTGCTGCTGCTTGGCATCCTTGTCAACATGACAGACAGGCAGGTTCATGGACATCAAGTGTCCCCATCTAAATAAACCACTGCATCCACTGTCCTCGAGTGTGCATCCAGATGGGCGAGTGTGTCCCCAGGGACAGTGTGGCTGGTGGTCAGCTCCACTCCCCCGTGGGCTGCAATCAGGATGCTGTCCACAAAGCCACATGCTGTGGCCGGGACAGGCTGGGCATTGGGCAGGACTGTCTGCCTCTCAAAGGCCCTGCTGTGCTCAGTGGGGGTCACCCCAGGGACTCCTGTAGCTCTAGGGAGGGTGTGGGCTCCATTCTGAGGCCCCCAGGCTGGGCTAGGGAGCAGGTGCAGCCCCTGGTGCAGGCCACATAGGACTGGCCAGGAAGCCATGGTCAGACTCCCGAGGTGTCAGGAGACAGGTGTGGTCTGAGGACTAAGCCCCCTCCTATGCTGCCCCAGAAGCAGGGAAGCCACAGCCACCACACCACATGTGGCCAGGCAACAGCCTTTATCTGCTAACCCCATTGGGAACTGCATGGCATGGGGAGGTCAGGGGCTGCCAGGGTCCTGGATGGAGGGTGGGGGTCCCTGGTGATGAATGTTCTGGGTCTTGAGGTGTCCACACCCTCGACTCAGCTTCACAGGATGTGGCCACCTTGGCAAACTGAGGGTGGGGGAGGGGAGCAGGGACTTCTGACCCTAAAGAGTCTGCATTACCTCAACATCAAAACACTTGTTACAGATAAATAACTAAAAGCCAACTCACCGTGCCCCTGAGCATCCCCAACAGGAGCACACAGCTGTCGTGGGGACAGCTCTCTCTGTGGTGGTACCAGTCTGCAGCTGACATTGGACACACTCATGGGAAAGGGGCCAGGGATGCAGGCATGGCCAGGCCCCAGGTTACCAATTAACAGGGCTCCACCAGCTTTCCTTTAAATAAACCAGAGGATGTGACGGAGGGGACGCTCGGGCTCTAGGCCAGCAGAGGGTGCAGGTGCGGTGTGGTCTGGATGCTCCCAGAGACACTGGACCACTATGGCCCAGGACCTTGGCCCAGATCCAGCCTTGGGTGCATGGGAGGACGAGAGGCCCCAGTGGGACAACAAGCTCCAGTACATGCTCAGTTGTGTGGGGTTTGCTGTGGGGCTGGGGAACATCTGGAGGTGCCAGACCCACAGTGGAGGTGAGCCTGCCAGCCACATCTGGATACCCAAGGGACTGCCCTTCCCCACCCCTGACCTCTGGGCAGCACCACTGTCCCAAAAAGCCAGACATGTGGGGCCCCAGGAAGAGCCCAGCCTTGGCATCTGAGCCCTGGGGACTTCAGGGGCCTGCACATGGGGTCCCAGGCCAGCATGCAGCTTCATTCTCAGCGGTGCTGCCCCTCAGTGTGGAGCCAGTCTCCAGGGGGCGATCATCCTGGTGTCCATGTTCGTGGGGGCTGGTGTCTCCCAAGGCTCCTTGCAGGATGACAGGAGCCCTGGGCTCACCAGCAGTCACAGCACACAGATGCACCTGTGTGGCCCACACATGTGCACCAGCCAGGGGCTGCTGCCCTCAGGGCTGTCATTGCCCAAGTGCCCCCATGTGACGGCAGGCCTGGGACACACAACCCTCTCCAGTGAGGAACCTGGGGAGACTCCCCCAGGGGCCAGGGCCTCGGGGATGCAGAGGTCGGGGGACGGGGCTTCTCATCAGGGATGCAGGCGAGGGAGGAGTGGCCGCCCCAACATGCTGCTATGGCACTTGTTTCCAGATGCGGCAAGCATGGCCAAACATGCCGTAACATTCTGTCTTCTTACTCCCCGTTCCTCCCCGGGCTGCGCTGATGGGTGGTCTCACCCCAGCCACTCAGTGCCCATTGCCCATCACTCAGAATTTTGTAAAGAGTGCCCCCACATCTTGCACAGCCGCACTCACCCTCCTCGCTTCTGGGCAGTTCCAGGGTCTTCTGAGCTTGTGGCCCTTCCTCATCCTCATGCCAGCTCCTGTTCCAGGTGTCTGCTTGCCAGCTCCACCTGTCTACACTGGCTGTGCCCACTCTACCTGTCCACACTGGCTACACACACTCCTCCTGTCCACACTGGCCACATACACACTGTCCACACTGGCTGAACACACTCTGCCTATCCACCCTGGTTGCACACTCTGCCTGTCCACACTGGCCACATACACACTGTCCACACTGGCTGTGCACACTCCACCTGTCCACATTGGCTGCACCCACTCTGCCTGTCCACACTGGCCATGCCCACACTGCCTGTCCACACTGTCCACACTGTCAACACTGGTCGCACACACTCTGCCTGTCCACACTGGCTGCACATACTCCACCTGTACACACTGGCCATGCCCACTCTGCCTGTCCATACTGGCCACTTACACATCTTCCACACTAGCTGGGCACACTCCTGTCTACACTGGCCACACACACTCCGCCTATCCACACTGGCCGCTCAGACAGCCTCTGAATCTGCTCCACAGTGCTGCCCGGCTGGTTTATTCTCCCATGAGGCTGAGCATGCAGCCAGCAGCTACACCAACCACACCCAGCCAGAACCCAGGCTGGCCACTGGCAGCATGCCAGGTGCCCCAATGGGGAGCAGAGGGTGGCCACCCCGACCCCTGTGTCCTGACAGGGGCCTTTTTCATCCCCTACTTCATCACCCTGGTCTTTGAGGGGATCCCACTCTTCCACATCGAGCTCGCCATCGGCCAGCACCTGCACAGGGGCAGCATTGGGGTGTGGACAGCCATCTCCCCCTACCTGGGCAGTGAAGGCAGGCCACCCCCTTCTCAGCTCCCCAGGAGGACCTGCTCTGCACGTGGGTGGCACCGCTCCTCCCCTGCTGTGTGACACTTTGTCCTCGCTGTCTGCAGGGCTGGGCTGCCTCATGATGTCCTTCCTGGTCAGCCTGTACTACAACACCATCCTCACCTGGGTGCTGTAGTACTTCCTCAACTCCTTCCAGCACCCATTGCCCTGGAACCACTGCCTGCTGGAAGGCAACAGGATGGGTGAGGGCATGGCCAGTGTGGACAGGTGACCTCTCCTGTTCACTGGTCCCCGCTGGACCCAGGGACCACCCAGATCCCCATACGCTCACACACCAAGCCCTGGGCCTCCCTTCCCCATCTCAGCCTCAGAGCGAGGTGAGAGAGCACAGCTGGGCTGGAGGGTGGGGGCCGCTTCAGTGCGCTGGTGCCCGTGGCCCTGCTGGCTTTCGAGGCAGAGCGTGCACTGGGCCCGGGCCCTGTGGCCGGCCTGTGACGGGACTGCTGGCTGCAGGGTTCATGGCAGAGTGCCAGGGCAGCAGCGCCATGAGCTACTTCTGGTACCGGCAGATGCTGGACATCACTGCTGACATCAGCGACAGTGGCACTGTCCAGTAGCGGCTGCTCATCTGCTCGGTCATCTGCTGGGCTGTGGTGTATCTGTGCATCATCAGAGGCATTGAGACCACTGGGAAGGTGAGAGCAGCTTCCTCCAGCTCCAAGGCCCCCTCCCCATGCTGCCAGTGTTGGCTTGGCATGGGGGAGCAGGCACACTCGGGGCCCCATGGGCAGCTTCTCATCCT